ATCATTTGTTCCTATAGCCAGTCTTTTCTCTAGAATAGGGACGCAACTCATTTCACATTTCACAGTTAAGGAGCTACAGTAGCATAACTAGCAAATCTCCGAAAAAGTGGGGATTATGGTGGGGCCCCACAACCAGCGAGGACGGGCCGTTCAAGTACCAAGTAAGTAAAGTTCTTATTACAGGCACTGAAATTGAAGGTTTTAAGACAAAAAACACAAGCGATAAAGTTTTTACCACCGATCTACTCTTAGGGAATGGGCAAGCACTCTGTTTTGTATTGATGCGTTTAGTCCTTGTTATTATTCACCCAGAAACGTCTTCTACTCTATATACCGACACCGGAAAAATAAAAACCCAGGAACTTTGAGTACGGAATCAACTACCTTTCTGTTACGCTACACCTCTGACCACTGCGTTACACGTCACTGATTATGACAAATCTCATAAATTTACGTACAGATTAAGCACGTTCTGAGACCTTATAGTATACAAAAGCAGGATTCTCTGCACTAGTTTCAATCCCGCTTAATATAGAGGAGAAGGAGTTAGTGAACTTTCCCAATACCGGCTATTGAACGCTCTTTGGAAGTACACCACCATTTTTATTGCTGTTTTTCTATGATGCAGCATCTATCTAGAGCTTTATTTAGTCGGTGTTCACGTGGACTATCTGAGATCTGCCGTGGGAGGTGGACAGTCAGAGTAATCTGTCTGGCCTTTCCATTAGACATAGGCCTTAATTACTGGAGATCACACCAAATCGCCCGTCACATAGTTGATTATAGCTTTTCAGTCAAATTGAGACGATACGCAATCTCTACATACACCATACATGGCCACGCATGAATGCATGCATACATTAGGAGAAAGTTAGAGAGGCAGATAGTCCATTTATTGAACAGACTGCTTTCACGATCGGTTCATGGTGCAATTTGCTTGGCACATGACCACCTACGCTGCGTGATTGGATTCGCTAAGTAAGTTATTGACGAACTAGTTTGTTCTTTACATGATCGAGATCGGTTCAGGAATAAAACAAACGTTACGGGAACTCTGGGTAAAGCTGACTGCAAGGCCTCTTGTCAAAGTCTATTTAAGGATAAATCACTATGACTTTTTTTACTGTTGTCGAAAATGAGGAAGGAGCTTGCAGCGGAGTAGTTAGAGGTGTCCTCCAATACACACGTGGTCTTCGGCTCGACCTCGAGCAGCAAGGTGACCAAGCAAGGTGATTCCACTGAGTCGACATTTTACCAGAAGGAGAGGCACACTGACGCAATACACCAGTTGGCCACCGCAAGTAAATTGTAGACCAGGTATGCATTCAGTCACCTCTAACGATGCATGTTGAAGTAGAATTCACAACGCATCCATATGGGATTAATCAACGCCGAAAGGTTTACCCCTAACCTTTTGTTGGAAAAGAGGAATCGGAAGGGTGCGTATTTATTTTAGAGCTCATCATTTCGCCAACCCACCGGCGATTGCTCATTCACTCTTCTTATGTTAATAGTACTCAATACCTTTCATCCGAGACGGTTAGGAAACGATTCTAAAAGTTTTTTATTCAAAATAAAATACCGTTTTCATCTCATAAAGTAGTAATCTGTTTACACACTGATATAACTGCTGACACCAGGGCAGAACTCGAAAACCTTTAAGGAACGGTCGTAAATCCTCCTTAATCCTTCTCTTATGCGGAGAGGCAGGGGATTACGGTTTGTTCGAATGTCGTGTAAACAACAACAATCTACTTTCAATGAGTAGATTTTGCGTTTTGGACCATTTATTCAGGAACCGTTAAAGGATTTTAAGACAATCCACCGTTCTCCAGATTTCTCTGTCGTTGATTGCCTTTGTCTCAACCACGATCGAGAGGAAAAGTTTTCACACTTTTGTCATCGCGTACTTTAGAGCACAAGGTGAGAACATTTTCCAAGTACTTACAGTATCTTTTAAAAATGGTGATCACTCGAATTCCATTCATTTCTTTTCTGCTTCGTATTCTTCTCTCATTATTTTCAGTTGTTCTCTTTAGGACCTCCATATTTTCTTCTTCAGTTGTTACTCATATTTTGTTTGGCAATCCTTGTCTTCTACTGCATTCCTTTCTGCATAAACCAATACGAATGGCTTCTTTGTTCAAAATTACAAACAACAAACGAATTCAAACATAATTACATACCTAAAAACCAGTAAAATTACGTGTTTCACATTGTTCGTGTATGTGGTGCATATCGATCGTAGGACAAACGTAGGACATAGTCCGTCAGCCGATTAATAGACATTAATTGCATCCTGTGAAGGTCAAAGGATTCCTTCAAGGACTATGGCAGGTGTGAATGAAAAGTCTAATCAAAATTTGGTTGCTAGAGAATCCCTTTAAAACATTGTAAGAGGAATTTTCAGTGAACACGTGTAGACGTTGATGCACACAGATAGAATCCCGATGTCTTTAACGGAATCCCGATGAGCAAATGATATGAGATCAAAGCAAAAACAGATTCAAGGAGTTGGAGAGGAGGTGGCGAAGAGTGATCCACTGAGCCCTGAAGGTTAGCAGTGAGGCTGCGACATGGAATAATGTCGATGTCGCCGGTGTGACAGTATCGCAACAGTGAATGTTGCGATGACAACCACCTGCAAAACGAGGACTTTTTTTAGGTGTTCTAAGAAAATAAACTCTTAAAATCGTTGCCAACTAGCTATCTTTTGAGGAACAAATGGCCGCAATCTGCTTCGCACAGATTTTCGGCATATAGGCCAAGGGTTTAAACACCAGAACAAATAAAGTGAACTAAAACGTCTTCCACTAGCTCTATTGTGAGGCTTAGTCAGATTACTATCGATAGTGCGACATACACCTGATATGCCATAGACTTGAAGTAATCAGTAACTCATTACAGTTTTCCCCAAGCTACATGGCAACGTTCGTAACCTTAACGTCGCCAAATTTTATTTAGTGGGCACTAATTTTTAATGGCAGGGTATTGTGTGAAATATAACCGCAATGTTGCTGAGATATTTACAAAACTCCGGACCACCAGTTTTTGCGTTTGGGACCGAATACGCTGTCACCCTTCCCGAAGGCTGACGCGCTCACCATTCCACCATGCGAGTACATTTCTCCTGTCTCTCAGCCGTGCTATTCATTGTTATTCCGTGTTAGCAACAGTACGATTATATTCGTAACCTTACTTTTCAACATAAAAGACAACATTCTCTTAACAATTACCGAGGTGGAGCCGGCTAGAAAGCTGATAAACGGGTTGAACGATACGCAGATACGATTGCCGAACTGGGAGGATGTTTCTTGGCAGGTAAGCTCTATAGGTTTCGTGCCATCACTGTCATCATTCGGCATACTTCCTGAATGTACGATTGTTAAGGCTGGAGGTTACAGTAATCTCGAAATGGAACCGTATAGGAAATTCGACAGGAAATTCACCAAGCTCTGACACTTCGATTCGTTGAGAATGTACTTCTAGAGACATGTCCTTATAAGCCTCGATGCTTCTTCTAAATGTTGAACATTCATAAATAATAAAAGAATTCTTAAAGGATCATTTTACCTAGTCCGATTTAGTGAAGAGGAATCCTCTAGACATTCCGGACCCTTGCAAAATCCGTCACTATTCGGAATCAAAAGTAAGGTGCATTCAAAGTAGATGAGAGACGTCTGCGGTATTCCAAATACACTCACATTCTGACCGACCAATGACTAAAATGTCGGAATTACCACGTTTACTTTGATCACGACATTTGTAAAGCACCATGAGGGCAGGGAATTCATTGATAAAAATGACAGGTACTTACCTGTAGTAAATGTAAGTAAACAGGGGGCAGATAGAACAGTGGTAATGGTATACGTTATCACGAGCATGGTGCTATTTCTATTCCGCTCCGACCAACCAAGCCTCTCTTCCCTCTGGGGTCGGGAAATTGGTACCGGGTTTGTCTGGAAAAAAGACCGCTCTCTGCAATTCAATTGGGAACGCTCCATCCCGGCTGTCTTAGGACTCCAAGGAGAATTGCTCGACCAGCATTCCACAACACTCAAGATGAAATGAAAATCCTCAAGCAGCAACCGAAGCCACACGTAAAAGTTGAAAGGTCTTCGTGGACAGTGGATGCGAGAAAAGGAATCGAATGTGATAAGTGCTGGGATCTGCACGGTAGACGTGAATACGCGTCATATAAAATGAAATAAAACAAAAAAAGGTAAAATAATAAGTGAGTAAACACTTATAGACATAACATTAATACAACGAAATACCTGTTCTCATAAAACTAAAGCATGAATGACAGGAGCTTCAACACTGCTAAGTCATTGCGAAGCGGTATGCTTCCGACTCTAGTAAACATCTTTGATCTGGGTTAATGCGTATTTCACTTGTTCAGCGCAGGCTGATCGTTGTACCAAATCATTTTTCTACTATTCCCGAAAATGCTGGTATCAATTTGCCGATTCTGGAGCGATGGAAAGCAGGGCTAGGCCTGGGTGCCCATCCAAGCTTACGAACATCTGTGTATTGTGGAGGAGAGGGGCTCTAATTACTGCGTTACACCCGCTTACCTCATTCTAGTAGGGTGATTCCTTAACATGTGGTTAGTTAGAGTGTTAATTGTGAGCCTTCTAGATGACTACTTTTTTACCACAACACTGCTCTGCTTTTGCTGTAATCCCATTCGTTCTCATGTTCTTATGCTAATAGCCGAATGTCTGAATTAACCAAATGTCTCAGCCGGATGAAATTCGTCTCATGAAAATCTTACGGTTGTCAAATAGCCACTAAATGCTTCCGAGTGCGCTACTACACGCTCCAAACGAGACCACCCGATTGCGACGTATCTTAACGTATTCCATGAATTGAAATCGAAACACATGTTTAATTTTCATGTGGTATGCCTTTTAGAGTTTTAACGAAATTTTACACTAGCTAGTTTCTTCACCAAGAATAGATTTCTTTGCAGGAAACATTTTCTCCTTTAATTCTGACTACTTTCGACGAATCCACGAAATCCCGTATTTTCTTTCTGCAATCACTGTCAAGTGAAGCAACGCATTTGCTAATACACAGAATGCACCACTGAAAGTTCATTTACTTTATGCGCCATTCTAAGCTCTTATTTACGAGTAGATGCGCTTTTTTGAGTCGTTAAGAGAGATTTTATGACTGATATTCATGAACATATTTAGGTTCGAAAGGCTGAGACAGCTTTTGCCTTCTAATTCAATTCCTCAATGCCCACACAAACGAGCAACAATTTCCATCGCTTTTACAACGAAACTGGTTGTGATTTCGTTTAGGCTCTTCAATCATTAACGTGCACCACTTGATGTGAAACGCACGAAACAAAATCGGAGTAGAGAATTGGGACGCCGGCCAGTGAGGAAAACGAGAGCATCGGGATCGAGAACGACCGAAACCGACCGGATTCAAGTAGACGAGATTTGGGAGGATTTTTGTGTTTTTCGAGCATCCGTCCGCGCCCATCAGTTCGTGTTTCGTCTCGCCGCCGACCACGGAGCAGCTGTGGACGATCAAGCACGTGTCCTGAAAAAGAACTATCGCCAAGAGTCTTACCTGTTTGAAAAGAAGGAAATACCTGCTGATTTTCGCAACTCCATTGATGAAAGACCACTTGACCGAGCACAACTGTTCCCGCAAGGGGACCGTTCGGCCGCTTACGCACGGTGTACGAACAGGAAGGCGTTCGTATAGCGTCTAAAAAGATGTTTGTCTAACGTTGATAGCAAAAAAAACCCAAAATGAAAGGAGATTGTGTAGAGGTTCTCTTACAAATTTTTTAGATTGAAAATTAGCAGTACTAAAAGCTATCAAAATGCTAATTTTCTATTTACTGCCTACTATAATTTTTCACGGCAGGGTATAGTGCGAAATACAACCACGGTGATGCTGAGATATTTGCAAAACTCCGGACTGCAGGTGTCTGCGGCGGGAAACGACCGCACTGTTACCCTTTTCGCAGGCTAACGCGTTCACCACCGCACCATACGCATCCTTCTTTTCGTCTATCTCTCAGCTAGTTCTCACTAGAAGTTATGTTCAAAATAACCAGTACTTCAAACCGACCTACTATTTCCTGTCGAAAACTTCTATAAGGAGAACATTTTAAAAAATCCACTTTATCTTTTATTATGATATACAGAAAGTGTTGGATGATATGCATTAATCATCTCTTTATTTGTTTCACTGCATCAAAATATACAATGGATTTGTTTTCTACAACTATAGATGGTCGCGTGTGGCGCAGTGGGCGGAGACGCCCTGCAACGCACAAGTGGAATCGATCGCTGCGCCCATGGCTTAGCAAGCCTTCCATCCCTCCGGGGTCGGCAAATTGGTACCAAACTTGTCTGGGAGGATAGTAGCACTGGCTGGAAACATCGGTAGGGCACCGCGTTTCATTGTAAAAGGCAGATATGCATTCGATGACCTCCAAACGATGCTTGATGAAGTAGAATGAATGGTGCATCCCTCAGTGAATAATCAACGCATAAAGCTCTATCCTTTGTAGCTATAGAAGATTAGTACGCAATATCAACTATTTTTTTCTCCAAATTAATGCGTTTAGAAGCTTTTTTGAAAGTCCATCAAATGCACACAGTTGAACTCCTAAGCACTTAGTGAAAACACGAGCTCAATTATCAAGTATTTCTATGTGTATCGGAAACGTTCCATTGATGAACGGCGACTAAGTGGCGAACAAGGTGCCCACTAAACATCAGAATTAGTTGGAAATACTCTTCTCACAATTCGAGCTTCTTCTTCTAGGTGATCGATACCTAACTAGTTTATTAAGTAGCTTTAGTTAACGTAGCTGCTTTCCATGGGTAAGTTTAAGCTGCTTATTACGCGAATGCAAACTTATGCGCTAAGTCTTATTCACTAAAGTTATGAAAGTGTTTGGCTGGGTAGATTGCATGTTAATCTAACCTTTCCAGGCTCTGAAGAAGGCGAAACCGCGGGAACGTCAGCTACTGTTTGCCAACGAAAGTAAAATACCAACCCCGTTTTTGCTCATTAAAGAAGAACAGTGAATTTTACGGATACTTCAAATTGATTATGATGGATTTTGCAAGTTTTTAATTCTTCTGGTTTTGTTTCGATTTGCATACTTACAAAAGGGCAAGAGGAAGCTTCGTAAGAAAAAGAAACTGAATATGTCTGATGGTGTGTCATCGTTAGATCCGTGATCCATCATGGGACAACTTACTGGAGCCAATCCATCCTCAGCCTAATGCTCTATGTCCGTTACCCATTAGTGATGAAGTGGGCGTGTGCCCTGGTGGGGATCAAGAGACAGGAAGGAAATATCGTGTCGCACAGCACACGTGGTCCTAAATGTAGCGCCTCTGAAACGTGGGGAATTTTTCGAGAATTTTTCGTCTATCTAATCAAGACAACTGTATTTTTTCAACAGACGTCTATCTATGAAATAATGAAAACCGTTTAAGGATCGAAAATGGGATTTTTGATGGAGAAAAATGTCGATATATATTCAAATCATTTAAGCTAACGGTGAAAGCTTAATGCCTAGGCAAATTAGAGGCTGAGATTATTCAACTCTTAAACGACACTGTAGTTGCCATTATTTCCCCGTCTGCTTGTTTAAATGAGTACTAGCGAGCAAGAAAAACGACATAGACCAATTAACACCGCTGCCCAATTTTCTTGATCCATGTAAGAAAAAATGGTCTTTACAAACCTCGTGGTGGTTCTGTGGGACTTCCCGGTCCTTGCACTTTACCGTTTGTCGCTCGCTGATGGAAACATCGTAAATGGAATATACGATCGTCAGCAGTTGTGAAGTCGGGATGAAATGAAACTGAAATCGCAGTTTCCAGAAAAATGCCTGCCGGTGATCGAGAACTGAAACCAAGACACAAAAGTAATGGTTCTCAGCGAATCAAAAAATCTGTTCTCATTTTCGTTCATACTCACCGCCTTCTCGGTACTGCGCATTCTTCGTGTGGAATGAGCACCTCTATCTGATTATTAGTCACCAGCACCTAAGAGTCACCGATTGTCTAGGTGGCTGACTATAGTTGTTCAACAGTAGGAACTTTAAACTAGAAAAAGCCTTAATCTTATGCGTACTCACGGGGAAAACTAACGCAAATAAACATGCTCAAATGTAGTGAACTTGAAGGGTACAGTCTCAAATCTCAGCGGTTTCCGAGTCTATGGTTTTCTGTTCTTCAATGTTTCGACAGTGAGTGTTCTTCACTAAGGTATGAATATAATGATACTCTAAACTCAGCGCGTAGTAGCCTGTTATCGATCGCTTTCGGTCCATGGTGTCCTTTGAAAAAGTATTTGCTTATGTGAAGAATTTCTGCTAACTCACTTGATAGCAGGATTTCTGCACGACAAATTTCACCTGTACATGTCCCTCGAACGTTTGATTTGTCTTCAGCTTCACGTAGATCGCATCGGCAGCGCAACTGGAAGAGGATTGGTTACTCTCACAACTCTAAAATGGAAAAGCAAATCAAAATCTGTGTACAATTTAACTACGCGGCACCTATAGAAAAGGGTTATAGACGAAAGGAAAATCTTCTACAGCGCTGAACTAAGACGATGATAACATAAAAAAAAACTTTTAATAGGCTAACGCTTCGACTTCGCTCTTTTCGTGGCGGCGATAATCCGAACCCATGATCTACAACTGGGCGATGTCACCGCGAGTCGAATCTAGTGGAGGAAGCACCGCTCAAATAGGAAGCTTCACTTGATGATGTCCTTTTACACAGTATTGGTGTTAGTCTATTTCCGTCATCCAATATGATCTGCTTTTTGGCAGGCAATGAGTACTGTAGCAGTCGCTACTTCATCTGCTAGCATGTAAGAAAGAAAATATTTAAATATCAGAAAAGTTTTAAGCCATATCCATCACCTTCCTAAAACCCACTGGCGAGCACTTATTCAGAAAAATCTTCCCACTTTATCTTCGAAATGCCTTAACTTTGGTGAAATCGCAGTTTTATGCATGGCTGTAGAAATTTTGAAAGTTCTCCTTTAACAGATTACGGGAAGGTTCCATTTCCTTTTTAGTGCAGTGGGCGGCCCGTCATCTTCCTATGGTAAAACGATCGTTTTAAAGAGATTGGATGAGTCAATAAACCGCAGACAAACAGACTTGGTATCGGCGTAATGATTGAAGATTACCATATAAATCAGGTTTTTTAGTATGCATGAAAAGCACTGCGCATAATGTTATCATACGGACGAGTTTCTCGGCCGTCCACTAACGACGATGACTGGTTTGCATCACACGCGAGACAACGAGTAGCAACCAATTCTCGTCCGAAGATTTAAGAGCCTTCTATCTTGGGAACTGTTTCTGTTTAATAAAAGCGTTAGCTTGTAAGAAATTGAGCTCGTAATTAGAACTAGGCAAAAAGAGAAATTCCTCTACAATAGACAACCCTTTGCCGATGATAGCTTTCCTGGCCTAGAACATCTTTCTGGATCAAAATTTTCCTTTTTTCTTCGCAAATTTTGGCATGCCTGCTCGAAAAAAAGAGTGTAAAACCTAGTAGTTGCTCGCTGTTTCTTGGTGTTCTCGTTCTTGTCATAGCTCCAATCAATTTTTTGCCTAACCATTTTCTAGAAAACTTGGCGTTTCAATTAGTTCTCGTTCCATTCGCCGGCGTATTTTGCCAAATTCCTTCCAGTGGAATGCAAAGAGATGTGGTGAAAGTTGGGAGACTAATCGCGAAACCTCGACGAACCAGATTTTCCACACTTGAGCGTAATGAGTCAAGTCGCCTGTTTGGTTGCAGATGACGTAACCATGGGCACTGCCCGCCGAGGGAAAGTCCAGCAAGCCTTATATGTTGTAATTCTTAACCTCATTTAGACTCATTGAAGGCGAATTTCAACGTCACTTCCTGCCAAAACGAACGGAAGGTCGAAAGTTAAGGCATGAAGTCCTTTCAAGTTCTACCTAAACTCTTTTCTTGAAACCCGACCCAAGTACATTTCGGAATTTTAAACTCGGTTAATTCGGCTTTGGTGAACTATAAACTGTTAAATGAATATTGGATTACGAAATCGGAAAGCGAGTTAACAAACAGAAGGAGTGTGTGAAAGACTTTCCCATTGAAGACGCAAATGCTACACAAGGAAATAAATTCGGAATAGGTCTTACACAGGTAGGTAGAAGAAATAATTTAGGTTAAAATACTGCTAGAGGTTCTGGGAATACCTACCTATTAGCGCTATACATAGCACAATGACGGAGTTTCATACTCTGTAATAATGAACCCTCATTTGTAAAGAACAACCTTATCAAAACAAGGAAAGACGTTTTAAATAAGGCAGAACAAAAAAGGAGTAGCATAATAACCTAAAAATAAAAACCTAATTTAATGAAAACAAAGCAAAAAGAGCTGAAATTTATGCCAAACCCACTTGACATACGGTTCTCCAGAAACGAAATTCGACTGGAGGTCGTCGAGTTGACTGTGTACTGATTCAGCGTAGAGGGCCAGTATCGAAGAAGCGAAGAGATATAAGCCCATATTCGGAAGCGGGTGAGGGGAGAGAACGCTGAGGTCCTTTGGAGGACCGTGGTCGAGCAAGATGTCCGGCGCTCCCCGACGCTGCAACCTCCGTGAGCGGTCGAGCCTTTGTGTCTCCACCCGGCACACGCTATCTCCCTGCCCTCCGGCTAATTGAGGAACGGTCAGTGGGCGGGACGCCAGAGAGCTGGAAAACTCCGACATTTAAGCATTTTGTTGGAAAATTATGGAGTAACGCAATTCGTATGTTTTCTTAACAGAAGCTTGCTAATGATGAAAGAAAAACCAGAATCGTGAGAAAAGTGCCTGCAATCCTATTAAAAGGTGAGACAGAAAATGAATAGGTCCCTAAAAATCGTCTCGATCACTTATGCTCGAAGGAGAATTCCAAAAGTTGATTCAAACGCGACGGGATTGCGAGACAGGCATTTTAAACTTAACGGAGTACTTTAAACCCAATGTATAATCCCTACCTTTACTCGATTCAATTACCCAGTTTAAATCTCTGAATATGAAATGTTTCGAAGACTGCTCTATGTGAAATCTAAAGTTCTTTACCATTCTTAATAGATCTTATTACTAACTGGTAGCCAAGAGCTGAGTAGGACTAGAGAGGTTCTACAGAGGTTGAGATCTCTTTGTCAAGTTCCATATCTGACTGACGTGGATCGTATTTACTTGAAAATTTAATTTTTACACACAATTCGTGTTATGTAAATAATCCAAGAAAGTTTTACTTATGTGAGTATTTAGTTCTACTTATTTGTTGTAAGCTCAATGTTACAAACATATATTGATCATTTTACTACCGAGGTTAAATGACGGTCCGTTTCAGAATTACTTTTTGAGTTCACTTGAAGGCAGCAAACTATAGTCTATATGTCTTCCGGTCATTTTATTCCAGGTTTTCGGCCAAATTACCAAACATCGACCACGTGTGCCTTACAGGAGCAACTTTAAACCACTTAGCCACACGAGTGCTGGCATGCGTGGTATATTACTTATATCAAGGACTATTCCCATGTAGGCGCTGAAGATCAGAGATCTATTCATGAGAGTACGAAAGGTGCAAGTCAGCCAGGTGCAGCAGAGGAGTTGAGCTCTTGCCGTGAATTAACCCTCGCCACTATAGTACAAAGTCTCACTCGCTGATGGGGTTTCACCGCTTCTCCGTCGTTTAGGAGTGCCCCACATAGCATTACGACTAATCGAGTCGAGATCTCTCACATGAGGGAGATCTATGGTCTTTCTCATTACGCTTAGTTAATGCTTAATTGCCGATCGTGAATACAACTTAGTCTCAGACATATATGGCATCAAGCAGCGAACACTTCTCAAGTTTACTTCCAGAAACAGAAAAACGAATGAAAACGAGGGCGTCATAATACTGAGAGGATGGTGATAATAAATATTTCAACAAGATGCTTCAGCTGTCATAAAGGAAATGAGCATTCTGACTGCGCGTGTACGTAGTGATTTCCTTAGAAAATTGGTTGAGAACGTTGGAAATCATTCAGTAGAGAGCGATGGAAGGATAATAACCCACAGACCTCACCAGTCCAATGAATGTGGATCGGATATTCTGTGCAAAATCGTATTTACAATATCAATGTTTAATAATATTTAGTGGAACTGAGAGATAAAGTAAAGTAATAGAAGGAAACAACAAACAAGCCTTATATATTGGTTTAAACATTCCCTTTGACGGGTGATTGCTGTCGAGTGATTGCTGATGACATCATTAGGTAGAAAACCGGCTGTGAGAAGGGCAGAGCAAGGTCCTCAGTGGTGCAATGGGTAACACGTTGTGGGCTCAAGAAATAAAATCATAAGAAAGAAAGTCATGAGAAACTGCCAGAACTCGCCAGAGTGAATAGAGTAAGCATTTCCTGGGAACCGACTTTGATTTAGACAGTGATATATGGCCTAGCAGAATATTTACAACTACCTCGTGTTTGCGTTTAGATGAGAAAAGCTCAAAACATTTACCACAAGCTGGTAAGTAAAGATTCTTTTGCAAAAGTTAGATCTCGAACACTTAAATAGTTCATTTTCAAATGTAGTGGGAGTTCCAGGATCTACGACAATCGCTTGGTTGTTTTCCATCGTCAGGTAGTTTAAGGCGCTTTCCATTGGAATCCCGAGACACATGCGCTATATGGATCCCAAGCCTTGTCTAAAGAATCTTACCCTCTGATGTTGAGGAAATCAGCAACTCCTATGACGGCGGCTAATCCTACGATTAGTCGACCGACCACTCGAGAGCGACGCTCAACTCTTTAAAGAATGTCTTGCTTTTGTGATACTACGAACTGCACATTTGTAAGAAAACACTAAGCTGTACGCATTACCGTGAGAAAGAAAAGTGAAAACCAGGCAAGAACCTTCAACTCGTATCCACTGTTCTTGTTGAAGTACAGCAGGCTCGCGTAGGATCACAACTATGGTCTCCCAAAATAGTCATGACCTTTAGTTAGTTCTATTACCATCAAATGTGATGTCGAAAACGCTATAGACGAAAAAGGAACCATATTACAAGGTAGTGGATGGTATTTCATGTAGAGTGCGTTTAGGCGAGGTCAGTTAAGCAAATTACTACTAGTAGCTATTCATTTTTAGACTACAATGTATGATATAGAGTTGAGCAGCACAGTGTTAGTGATGCCGATCATCACGAGCATGATGCTGGCTCGACCCTGCTCCGGACTCACCAAGTCTCTCATCCTTCTAAAGTCGGGAAATTGGTATCGGATTTTCTGGGAAAGTGCACTCTTTGCAATCTAAGTGGGAGCGCTCTCGCCTGGCTATCTGACTACTCCAATCGATTCGAGCAACATTTGGCGATAGTACTGATGATGTGAAAACTATCAAGCAGCAACTGAAGCCGCACGTAAAAAGTCGGAAGACTTTTGTTGACGATAGGTAAGAGGAAACGAGTTGAATGGGTAAAGTGCTGGGATTCGCATAGTAGATGTGAAAAGCGGGTCGTGTAAAGAAAATATATGATAGGATAAAGGTTAAAGGACAATGCTTTCGGAGTTGATCAATTTCTCAGAGATGCTCCATGCATTCTACTTCACTACGCCTATACATTGTAAAAGATGATTGAATGCATATATGGTTCACATAGTGATTTGCAACAACCTATTGATGTATAAAGTCAGCGCTGTTATCTTCTCAGAAAAGACTGCTAGCTATCTGCCACTCTCGAAAGGGTGGAAATCTTGGTGAGCCTGTGGCAGAGGGTGAAACCGACGCCTGCGTACGTATTTCAAGGACAACTGTGTTACACTATTTCCCAATATATATGTATATGCATATATATGTGCATATGTATATATATGTATATGTAAATATACAAGTGGCGCGTGTGACGCAGTGGTAGGAGACGCCTACAAAACCCACATGGTATCGATCCCCGTGCCCGTTGCTTACCAAGCCTTCGATCCCTCCGGGATCGGCAAATTAGAACCAGACTTGTCTGGAAAGAGAGCAGCACTGGCTCGATACATCGGCA